TTTCATAAATCCACACCTACCTCTCTTTTTTCTCTTTTCATTTTAATTTTAAATTATAAAATCAATGTTCAAATTTTAGTATTACATAGTGTATTTAGACAAGAAATACATTGTGTATTTAGAAATTATCGGTCATTTCTAAATATCCTATCATATATATTTTTCTTATGTATATTTTTTTACTATTATTTTTGGTATACATATTTATATTTATTTATTTACTTTTATAACTAATTAAAGCGACATTGAGAATTTTATTTATAATAAAAAAATTATTTGTTATATGTAAGGGTATAATAATAAATTAAGTATACGCATCTTTTCTTTTCTTGCACTTTTTCTCCAATATCAAACAATAAAAAATCAATTTTTCATTCTCTTCTGTTTTGTCATTGATGTTCAGCAAGTAATAAAAATTTGTATGCTTGATTATGTGTATGTCTTTCCCTCAACTTACGTATATTATTCCGAATTCATCCAAATTCATTAAATCATTTTTTTTTTGAGTAACCATTAAATCATTCATTATACAACATTATAGCATAGCACCATTATGTTCAATCAGATTGAATTTCAGGTACCCAAAAAAAAAAAAAGAATTTCAGGATTTTGTAATGATACACTTGATCATCAGCCCCCCCCCCCCCCCCTCCTCTTTTTTGTTTCTCTCTCTATCTGTTTGCCATCATGTCATGACTATTGTGATGAAGCTATTTGATTTCTCCAATAGGAAAGAAAGCATTTGATTGCTTGAATAATAGTGGCTAATCAGTGGGGACACTTCTTTACTAGACCATGACCATCTACTCAAAGATATGAATCTAACAATCACAACCAAGTGTCGGATGTGAGCACACAACACCTCAAAATGGCAAAAGCTTTCACCTTGCTATCCATAGAATTGGGTGTCAATGGGTTGCCAAGGTGGACCAGTGTCATTTCAATTTGCATATGTTCCAAAGCATGTCAAGCTCATGATAAAGGCAAAGAACAAAGTTGAAAAGGAAATTTTAGGTTTCAAAGATAGGAAGGCTGCAATATGGATGCTCTGTTCTGGCTCAGAAAATGTTTGGGCCTTGAAAAATGGGACAACTTGGAAGGGTCGGACCACGCGAGCTTGTGGCTTCCGTAGATATGGTTAAGTGTTAGTATTACATTTCAAGGTTATGAAGGGTTCAAGGGTTAAATATTTGTCTATGCAATGAGTTGTTAGAAGGCCAGTGTTCACGATAAAATACAAGAAAATTTTCAGTGAGTTGTACATGCGACGTGACAGCACCAAATGGTGTCAAGAAATTTCAATGGTTCAGTCAGATACATGTAAGCTTGTCATCTCCTTCCTCCTTGGTGTTTTCAGATGAATTTCCAGCAGGTTGCAAGATTTGCAGGGGGAGAGGGGGGGGGGAGGGGTGTGTGACTTAAGTCTAAGTTTATCACACCTGTAATGCCTCGTTTTGACATCTCTGCAGCATTAGAGAGAGAGAGAGAGAGAGAGAGAGCATGAAAATAAATAGCATTAGTTGCCTCAATCACGGGTAACAATTCCTAACACAACACGAAAATATAATTCGAAATCGACAAAAAATTAGTAGGTTAAAATTGACTATTTCTCAACATGAACCTGTATATGATACAATTTGTTTACACAAATAATAAATGAGTTGAGTTAGTGTTAAATACGAATAACACAAAATTAACACGATTAACATATTTAAATAGTATTATAAGAATAAAATACTAATTTTTTACTATATTTGATCAAGTAATGCCTATTTCTTGTATAAAAAAGATATTTTTATTATTATATTTATTAAATTAATTTTAAGTTAATCAAAAAAGTACTAGTATAGCTTTGATTAATTGATAATAAAATTTTAACCATAAAACTAAGCGTAAGCAAATGGATTTACATGACCATCTGTTCTCATTTAAACAACCTAGAGGATCATGCAAACTAAGGTTGTTCAAATCATTAAGCATCCCAAGGAATGAAATATTCAGAACAAGCAACCCCCCAAGATTAACCACATCCATGCATACAATTTTGATTGTAAGAGAAACCGACACACAATCATTGAATATACTAGATAAAGAAGAGATCCATTCGGGATAAAAACAGAAAAAGTTCTAAAACTCGACGCTCAAGAGGCTCAAATAATGGTTTGAACATTTAAGTCTTTAAATCACATGAAAAAGATAACAGGCAGAGGCATGGTTATGGAGTGATGTCAGACATGTCATGTACTTATCTCTACGTTTCTTCGTTTGAAGAATACAAAGATCATGGTTCAATTAATATGCATGAATGCGTAATGAAGGAATTTGCACCACAAGGATTTATTGAAGCATTACATATTAAACTACAATCTTGCACCCAGAAACCAATAATGTGACTCTGATGGATGAAAGTGGTATGAAAAATGCAGTCAGATTGATTGCCAACCGACTGTGGTTTGCCTATCCAAAAAGAAATGTGTACGTCATCCGGATATGAAACCGACTCTGGTCGGAGTTGAAACCATATGATTGCTCATTCAGCATTTTAACAGTGACCATTCCACAATCAGTGTAGGAGCCTCATAGAAATCTATGCACACCAAGCCACATTATAGGTTTACTTTTGTCCAAGGTAGGGTATACACTAGATTCATTTGAGTATTATTCCTAGTGCATATTCTTTCCAAGTACCTGTTACACTAGATTCATTTGTGTATTATTCCTAGTGCGTGTGCTTATCAAAGTATCTGTCATTGAGGATAGACCCACAGCAAGCAACCTAGATAGGACAGTGGCTGTATGCAAAGTGTATTAATGCTTAGACATACACAAATTAATCACAGACATGCCCTATCAGTATTTAGAACAGTAATTGAAGTTGGCAGCAGAAGCAGATATCATGCACATAGCACAATTCTAGGTTCTAATAATCAAATGCTTAGATAAGCCATTTCTTTAATAGCTGAGAATTGAAATAAATACTGTATGTGGCTTATATATGCAAGTACTACGCCTGAAGTTGAGGAACAGGGCTTAGAACATCCATTCAGAAAAGAAAAGATAGATTCCAATAGTCTAATCTGGAAACCCCACAATTAGAAATCAGTTAAGGGCGGCACAAAAGATAACAAATTAATCTACCTTTCAATCAACTCCGCCAATATAAAACCATCAAATTAATCTACCTTCCATTGTTCTTATGGCAGTACATAAAAGTGGGCAGCAGGTGGCATACAACCATCCATTTTTCACAAGATAAAAATTGATCAACCCTCCTCAGCATAGTCATTACCCAGGAAACACAAATCCATCAAATGCTTGTACCAAACTGAAATTTTCCATGTTACTATAATAGAGAAACAATCCCCTACTAATAGAAGCCTATGACATCACAAATGAGTAATGAATTATACAATAGAGTAACTGATAACAGACATGGAAACCCAGTTAAGGAGGCAAATTAAACTATCGATGACATATAAGCAAGGGACTCGACACGGCACAAACACATCAACAAGGCATATCCTAAATAGAAAACAGACATGCTAAGACACACTATACGTAATTGTTTGTCTAACATGAAAGATATGTATATCAATATATACATATATAACATTCCTTTTTTGACCAAGAGATAGTTATAGCCACTAATCACCCCTTTCTTATAAGACAAAACATAGCATACATATCGATAATTCCTCTCATCCTTACATGCCCTTCCTTCAACAAAAACCGTTATGTTTCTTACTTTGAAAACATGGATTAAACTTATAACACTAGTCAGAATAATTATAAATTTTTAGACGATATAACATAGTTACATGCTCATTTCTAAGGTTTATTAATAAAATCATGGATAGTTTCCAAAAAGTGTTAATCCAGTGTTTATTTTTAGTAACTGACGCCACCTAGGGAGTGTCGGACTGGTTGTCAAAGGAAGTGAAGGCATGTTAGAAATTAAGATTTTGTTATTTAACTGTATGCATAGCTGAAGTATCATATATGTGGAGTGCCCAGAAAGTGTCAATATCTGACATGTGTCCCACTCGGATATGGAACCATTGAAATCTCCATTCTTCTCAGCAAGTTACTGAAAAGATGGTCTCAAATTGACGATTTCCCAAAACTGGAAAAGCAAACCCCAAGGCCATAACACAAGTTACTAATAAGTTACAATTAAGGTTGCAGAAGAGAGAAAAGAATGAAATGACACGAATCTGCTTCAGTTTTCAGCATGTCATTTAGCTCAACAAAATCTTTATATAAATTGATGTGATAGTAAGTTATTGATGTGGCTTCCTCCTTTACCTTTTTTTTAAACAGGAAAGTTCATTCAAAGGCAACAAAAGGCCAGAAGTCAATATGTTATTCTCAGAGTCATAATCGAGATAGAATTTCCATAAACCATACTTAAATACTAAATTGTGAAGTTCTGCATTTCCTATTATATCATCTTTCCCAGTGATTAAACCCATGGAGAAGAATAACCTAGTAAGAAGAAAAATTTATCAAAACCATCAAATTTCATCACATTAACAGATCAGGATAGTGAGTAATAGGCTGACAAAAAATTGCCAAATATACTTTTGGAAAATGTAAACATGCATAAAGCTTGCAGTAGCATTTACTTTACTTACCAATAATATGACCTACTGTCCGCTGTTTACACGTGCCTTGCCAAACAATCAGAGGGCAACACCCCTCAAAGAAGGCCCATATCAGAAAATTCTTCACAAAATGCCAATCCTCGGCTGGAGCAGGCAATAAATGTGCTGTATGGCGACAGTCGCGACAACATATTGGGCTACTGTTGAGAATGATGCTTTCTCAGATAAACCAAAATTACTTAAATTGGAAGTTGGCCTCTTTTTACATGCACAAGCAAATATGGCTATTTAAGACAGAAAATCTTAAATTTTAAGAAACACGACTAAACTGTAGCTCCTAGTAAAGGGAACATGTCAGTTTTATACTTTGCTTTAAATAAAGAAACAGAATCATCTCTACCTTCTCCTCCTAGATTCACGGGAAACTTCGTTGTTTACATTTGAAACCCTCGAAACACCACTTCCTCTCCTGGAAGATGAAGAAGGTCGGGAGGCTGTCAGATTGATTTGAATAGCAGCATCTGTTGTCAGGTTTTCCAAATGTACAGCAGGAGCAGAAACATCAGTTGTTCCAGAGGGTGCAGGAAACGGCAGAGTAGAATTGATTTCAGCAGTAGAATCCACATTCTGGGGTTCGACTTGCACACCTGCGGCACTGCTATTAGAAGGATCCCCACCATCAACCAGTAGAAACTGTGCATGGCTCCTTTCAAGACGGTCTTGGATATATGTTTCAAGATCCTCAACCAACCTTTCAGCATTATTCAATGCAGATGAAAAGGAAGTAAGGGAAGCAACTCCTGATAAGGGGTGGGAATGAAGGCTCCGGCTGCTCCCTGCCTCCCTATTCGGCAACACCCCGTAATTGGTCTCAGAGCTAATGTTCACACTATGAAGAACCCGTTCCTGTGGGGGCTCACCCATTGCACCAATACCAGTCCTGATTCGCCGAAGTGCTTCTGCAACAGGAATATGAGACACACCCCGTATTACACGCTGTTGCCTAATGCTCTCTACTCTATGTGCTAGGGGCCTTGATGGTAACTTCAGGCCACCTTCCAACTCTGACATGGGGGTGCTGTGTCCATTGCCATATATTGGAGTAATATTTGTATCCGTAACCTCTCCCTTGCACACAGGACATTCCTTAGCTGTTGAATTGGCATATGGCAACCGATAAAAGCATGCCCAGCAGAACAAATGCCCACAACAAGTCAATATAGGTTCTGTAGCCATTTTCAAGCATATATTACAATCGAAAAAGCTCCCACCATCACCATTGACCCTCTTTACATCAGAATCCATAGCCAAAGCCTTTGCTACCAAATGGGAACTATCCCTTTTATAACCTTTACTCCTCTGAACCACCGTTTCTGATGAACGCACACTATCATCCCCCTCATGCAACATACTCCCACCACCCACATTAACAACCGGTTCGATCAAAACATTACTTATTTCATTAACATTTCGAGCTTGTCGCCACCTCTGTCCTTGCCTAGCTCTAGCCGTAACCGCCTCAAGCTGTCGAATTCTTTCTTCAATTGCATCATGAGCAGCAGTTTCTAATTCATTCCATATTGACCCTAATCCTAACCCTGAATCAGCATGTGACTCCAAAGGCTCTTGGTTCAAATCAAGATCCATTACTACATCATCCATCAAATTATCACCCATCACATACCAAGAGAAAACAAGCCCAAATTCCAAAGACCCTTTATGTTATATGACGTAAAATTGCCAATAATAGTCCTTCCGATCCAAACCTTTTAAAAGACTGAGTCTTCCATCAAGAACACAGGATCTTAAAAACCAAGAACTAAAAATATAATTGAATCGTTCTGAAAAATTTATAACACGGAATTGAGTAATCTAAATACCTGTGCCGATATGTAAAATTAATTAATAAGAACCTACATGCAGGAGATGATATGGTTGTGAACAAAGGTAGTCTATGGCTCCTTTTCTGATGCAGTTGTCCTCCATGGCTGCTGCTTCTTCTTCTTCTCCTTCTCCTTCACATCACTGATCTGAGTTATGAGAGAGAGATAGAGAAGGAGGAGGGCCGGGGGGGGGCGGAAGACGGGAGGTGGCGAAACGGGAAGAGAGAGAGAGAGATGATCCACAGCCGGTGTTTGGCGCACTGCTGCACCAGCAGATCAGGTAAGGAAAACCGGGACTGTCAATCTGCTGTGGGGACACGAGTCAAAGTTCTGGAGCAAAGTTTCAATACGGCTAATTTTTAGTAATTTTAGAGAAATACAATCCGATTTATCACCAATTAAAATTTTTAATTAAATGAAGTTTCTAATTCATGGACAATACCATTGTGAAAAAAAAAAGATTTACAATATTTTAAGATTATTTGTAATTTCTGAAGTTTTTGGCTATTAATTCTATACATTTGCGAGGATAATTGATTGCAAATTTACAAAAAAAATTTAAGAAGCAGCACAAGTTATATCAGAAATGAACTGTCTAAATTTTTTGAATTTGAATTTTGATAATTTTTTAGAATTAAGTCATGAAAGATTTATTTCTCATGAATACCTTAAATTCTAACGTGATTGGTCTGTCGTTGACTAATTTGAAAAGGAAATTAGTTAAGGTACAAGTAAGCTGACCCGAACACTCCTAACCGTTAAAACAAAAAAAAAATTCTCGAAAAATTTTAATTTAACTACAAAAGTTGTAAAATAATCCTAAAAGTAATATTTTTTTAGGATCGATAACTAAACTCTAATCATTGTGTATGATGACCCATAAAATTCATAAACTTTGACACTGTACCTCCGTTTATACCGAAGCAAAAAATTAATTTTGATCACTCTAACATATTCTATGGCTCGTTTTTTTAAAATTTTTCAAAATGGACTTTTGATAAACTTTTCGTGTTTTTTGATCAAAAAAAAAAAAAAAGACTTTACATGAAGTTAAAATTGATCAAAATAATTCAAATTAATAGGTTAAAGGAGACAAAAATTCAAAAAATGACATGTCCTACGTGATAAGATCATCATCATATTAAGAAGTTCTTTTTTTTTTTTTTGGTAGGTTACAATATCAAAGTAATAGTTATTGTTTGTACCTGAAGGCTCAAAGTAATAAAAAAATGGTTAACAATAAATATATTTTTATTCATATCTAAAATCAAATTACAAATATAGATAAGAGATAAATGAATTTAAGTACTGGTTATAGTAAGAGTAAGCGATGGTAATGATAGTTGGTGGTAGTGGCGATAGTGATGGTGGTGGTCATGGTAATGATAGCGATGATGATCATGAGGGTGGTGGTGGGGCGATAGGAATAGTGGCGATGGTGGGACAGTGATAGTGGTGGTAAGGTGGAAGTGGGGCGAAGGTGATTTTGGTGGTAATGATGGTGGTGGTGAGGATGGTGGTGGGGGTGGCGATGACAATGGTAGTATAATGTCGGTGGTGGTAATGGTGGGGTGGTGACGGTAGTAATGATAGGGAGTGGTATGGTGGTGACAGCGATGGTGGGGCTAAGAGGCAGGGGGTGATGGTAGTGGTGATAGTGATGATGATAGTGAAGTGGTGGTTGGGGTGGTGGTGGTGGGGTGGCGACGGTGGAGGTGGAGGTGGTAGAGATAGTAGTTTGATGATGGTGGGGGGTAGTTTGTTAGTGGTGTGGTGTGGTGGTGGGGTGATGAGTGGTGGTGGTGGAGTAGCTCCAAACACTATTTTTAAAAAAAAAAAATACTTATGAGAAATTAAGTATTAAAAATACTTTAAAAAAGTCATAACAAATACACTCTTAGAATTTTATTTTTTCTATTAAATTTGAAGTGTTAATATTAATTATCGGATTAACTTTAAAGTAAAATTAAAAAAAATCTTAACGATAAATAGTAAAAGTCATTTTATTTATCTTTTAAGATTTGAATTATATATATATAGATTGTTATGAAAAAAAATCAGATTTTCAAGTTACGTTTCAAACGCATTGCTCACAACTTTCTATTTCTTTTTTTTTAGTATTACAATTAAGGATGTTCAGACCATTTTACGCGTATTTTGACTAATTCTTTCTTTAGTCAACTTGTCAAATGCAGACATGTCGAGATTAAGATATTCATATATGATATTTTTTCATAATATGATCCCAAAAAATATGTGAAATTTTAAATTTAAAACATCTAAGTTAAACTCATCATTGACTACCTCTTGCGGGTACTCACAAATTTATCAAGCATGGAAAACGCCATAGCTCAATTTGTGTTGGGCCCGGCCCAATTTTTAGGCTAACAAAGCTTGGGTTTGAAGTCCCATTTTAAGGAAGACCTAACATTTTTTAGGTGTATAATAATATTTTAAATAAAAAATCTCAATTCATATGAAATATGTTCACAAAAGGTTTTAAGCGAAGTAGATTGGACTTATTAATTTAGCTCATAAAATTAAAATACCTTAAAATTTTTTTTTTTTTTAAAAGTTAATAGTAAAGCTAAAACTATTAAAAATACTAACCCCAAAAAAATTCAAATTTTTTTGGTCATTATATATTTAAAAAAAATCAAGTTTACAATTATAATTTTTAATCACGCTCTCCCCCCTTCCTTTCTTTCTCACTCCCTATCTGATCAGTAAGTTCAACTGTGATAATAAAAGATTAAATATAAAGCCTTAATTAATATTTTTATAGTTCAAAATATTTAAATAAATATATTATTAATGTTAAAAATAAAAAAATTATTTATTATTTTTGATTTAGGAACCAAAATGTCTCGGCTCGCCCCCGACTTATTTGCCTTTTTTTTGGGGCTCTTGAGACTTACAATCAATTCAATAATTATGACTATAAATGTCCATGAGTTGGGCCATATTAGGCCTATGAATTTTTTTTTAGGTGGACCTGATTAGAGTAGATTTGAGCACTTACCCGAGTGAATTATGAAGCGGGCCAAGTTAGACTTTTAGTAGGGGTAGGCTACCTGCAATCCAACCAACCACTCACTGGATGAGCTTTGCAGGCGGGCCATATATATATCTTTATTTAAAAATATTTAACTTAGAATTTTTGTAAATTATATTTTTAAATTAAAAATAGAGTTAAAATGAACAAAAAATAAAAAATAAATAATTTATTTATGAATAGGGAAGAAATTGTATTACAATAAAATGAGCACACCCCAATTAAATCGACACTTATCCATCTATCTATCATTTGTAAAACTCTACCCTTTAAAACATGTATATTTACATAAAAACATACATGAAGCACATACAATACATGTGCTTAATACATGTATGTTTAACTTTCAATGATCAACTTTTTTTTTTTCAAACAAAGTGGGTGGACTGGTTGACGGGCTCTTGTGGAGGGGTTGGATTTTGGGTTGGGTAATGGGCTTGAAACAAGTCCACGACCTCACTTTAAGAATATTAGATTCGAATTCGAGCAGGCCAACTATCAAATTTATCGAATTTTAGACAAATTTTTTTAGGTTGAATAACGAGTTTCGTGGACCAACCTAACCTATAGACACCTAATTATGATGAATAAATCAATAAATTATATCAACAAATTATCTTCAAATAACATTATTGAGACACATGTGCCCGTGAACCTACACAACCCAAATCAACCGACCGACCGAGAGAGAAATAAAGAAAGGATGAAATTTGTAGTTCATTTTTTAATTTTCTCCTAGACTAAACTTGATTTTCTATGCTTTTAAGCTGAGGGTATAAATTGAAATAGTTATGAAAATTAAAACCAAACTTCAAAATTAGGAATGCAATCGAAAAAAAATTTGTTTCTCAGAATAAGTTTGAAGGAGTAGTCGACGTAAACTTGAACATCCTACAATCAGAGACGGAACTATAGGAGGCCTAGGGGGCTATGGCCCCTTCAAATTTTTAAAAGTTCCACTATCCCGGTATATTTTTAAAAAAATTTATTGTTAACTTCTAGTTTTTTAAAACACTCAATGTGTAAGTATCTTACTTAGTGTATTCAAAAAGATTAATGATTTAATATTTAGTAACTATTACGTGGATGAATGTTGCTTATACTCACAAAGACACTTGTTGAATTATTTTAATGATATAGATAAAAAAATATAGTTTATATTAAAAACAGTTGGTTGACTTATAATTTATTTTTATTGTGACATCATATAGAACTATTATTTGCGATCTAGATTTATTTATAGGCATAAGGTTACATTATAAACAAGAAAAAAGAGAAAAAAATTATCACAAATAAATTTTTATGATGGTATAAACCACTTTTGAATTTTATGCTCAAATTTCTTTTTTGATGTCATTACATAAAAATTAAATTTAATATATTTTTTATAAATAAAAATTTATTATTAACGATGACCGTTGAATAATCGTATTAAATTAAATTTTTGTCTATCCAATATTGACCGTTAAAATCCTAATTCCCCTTTTGTAGCCAAACAAAAAACAAAAAAAAAATTAAGATTTTACTAAGTTTGACCTTGTCCTTGTATGAGTAGTTTCCGAGAAGATATCTTTAAGATTTAACCCAACCTAGAAAAAAACTTTTAGATTTGCCTGTGGAAGCTTATTTAATCATTACAGTATCTCCACAGTGACTCACACACATAGAGGAGAGAGAGAGAGAGAGTTGAACATCAAAACTACCAACATTTCAGCCACCCCACCTCTTAATCCCTCTCAAAATCGATGAAGGAGAACAAATCCACTGCAAAACCTGTGAAACACTCATCTTTGAACCCTTCCATGGCTGCCTCCAATGCAACCACTACCTCCATGACCACTGCATCAACACTCCTCGCTCTCTTGAACACCCATCTCACTCCTTACCCCTCATCCCATTTCCCACCTATTCTAATGGATCCGACTCTTGTAATGCTTGTGGTTTTGAAGGTCATCCTTTCAGCTATAATTGTGCTCATTGTCAGTTTGATCTTCTTCTCCACTGTGCCTCTTTGCAGACCACACTTCTTCTTGATAAACACCCCTATTAACTCAAACTCGTCTTTGATCTTAATCAGCAAACTCCGTTCAATGATAAAAGTGTCATTTTTGGATGTGATGTGTGTGGTGTGGCGGTGGATAAGAGGCAATGGGTGTACTACTGTGCTGGTTATGATTTTGGGACACATTTGAATTATGTAAAGCCTCCGGGACTGCTAGTTTGCCAGTGACCGAGGCAATCGATGGTGAATCAAGTGGCGGAGTGGTGGCTGGTTGAAGGTTCCAGCTTCATGGGAAGGCTACCTAGTAGCCACCTCTATGGACGACTTGACGGCAAGATGGTTGGATTTTTGACAAATCTTGCCGGTGCTTTAAATGAGTTCCCTTTTCTTCTTGATTTTTGGCCAGAAACTTCCTATAAATAAGAAGCTTAGTGAATATTAGATATATGTTCAAGATCATTGATGAAGAAATAAAGAGAGATTCAAGAGAGACCTCATTTGTGAGAATATTTTGTAAAAATTCTTATATTTTATTTTTAGAGAGAAATAAAAGTTCCTCTTCTGTTTATATCTTATTTGTGGTATATTTTCGGCCTTGGGTAACCAACAAGTGGTATCAGAGCTTTGGTTGGGTCATCAATTTTTTTTCCAACTCACTGTTTTTGTTCGTACAGGTTCTAAACAAACTCGAGATCAAATTCTGAGCGCACCATTGGATTCCCCTCGTCGAAATGAGTCGAACCCCATTGGCCTCGCATTAATTTGATGTCGAACTCTCTCTTATGGTCCTCGTCGAAAGTTTGTCAGAAAGTTCACCGGCCGCCGGAGTTGTTGTCGGAATTCGCCTGAGTTATTGCTGGAAGTTCACTGAAAAATTTAGTTGGACCAATGACTGAATGAAGGTTGAAGACAATGGAATATTCCACTCCGTCAAAGAATATTTTATCTCAGTTAATGAATATTCCTAGAGAATATTCAATCCAGAGAATATTATGTCATCATCAACATTTTTCGTCAAGTTAATGGAATATTCCGTTAAATTACCAAAAATTTTTTGAGCCAATTTTGACATCATTTCAACTCCATTTTTGGGGAACCAGGACTCTTTCCTAGCTATTTCAATTGTTCTAGATGCAATAGTGTACTCTGTTTTGCAAAATTTAGCCCCAAATTTTTTTGATTGAGTTATTTAGAGCCTAAAAATTCAAAATATTCACGAATGAATCAACGTTGGGAGCCATAATCAAACTCACTGCCTCCAATTATACATTTTGGAGATCTCGGATGGAAGATCTCTTAAGCTGTAAAGACTTGTACGATCCTTTGGAGGTAAAAGGTATAAATCCAAATCCGACAAAAGAAACGGACTGGAAAAAACAGAACAATAAAATCATCGATCAAATCAGGCAATGGATTGACCATAGTGTATTCCACCATGTTGCACAAGAGACTGATGCACATGTCCTTTGGAAGAAGTTGGAAGACATGTACCAGGCAAAGACTGCTCGGAATAAAGCTCTTTTGATGACGCGGTTTGTAAATCTGAAGTTAAAAAGTGGAACTTCAATTGCTGAGCACACTGGTGAGTTCCAGAGTTTGGTAAATCAATTATCATTGGTAGAGTTGACTCTGGGGGATGAAGCACAAGCTCTCTTGCTTCTCAGTTCTCTACCAGATAGTTGGGAGGCGCTAGTAGTCTCTCTTAGCAATTCGGCTCAAGGAGGTAAACTTACTATGTCAACGGTTAAGGATGTCTTGTTCAATGAGGAGGCTGGGAAAAAGGATGTTGGCATTGACTAGTCAAATGCCCTCGTCATTGAGAGTAAAGGCAGACAACAAGGGGGAAGTAGAAGCAGGGAAGAGGAATGAGTAAGAGTATAGGAAGGTCACAAGATCCAAGGAGATCAAATGACAAAGGAAGACCTACATACAAATGTTACCATTGTGTCATGTAAGGCCACATGAAGAGAAACTGCTACAAGTTGCTACGAGAGTAAGGCTAAGGTAGTAATCAGCCAGAGAAACTGGACGAAGAGACACCAGTCACTCTCTCAGAGGGCGTGGCTATTCTTTTTGTCAATGAGGAGACATGCCTTCATTTTTCAAACCATGACGCTAAATGGGTGGTAGATACTGCAGCTTTATACTATGCCACTTCTCACAACGATTTCTTCTCAACGTACAAAGCTGGAGACTTTGGTACGGTGAGGATGAAAAATACCAGTTCTTCCAAGATCATGGGAATTGGTGATATTCAGATAAAAATAAATGTTGGTTGTACATTAGTATTGAAGGATGTCCAACAGGTGCCCGACCTTTGGCTAAATCTACTTTACAGGATAACCCTCAACAGACAGAGCTATGATAATCACTTCAGCAATGGCACATGGAAGCTCATGAAAGGTGCTATGGTTGTCGCTCGAGGACATATTTGTGGCACGTTTTACAAGACCCATGTGAAGGTTTGATCAGATAGCCTCAATGCAGTTGAAAATGAGGTTTCATCACATCTGTGGCACCAAAGACTTGGTCACATAAGGGAAAAAAGATTGTTTACCTTGGGAAAGAGGAATCTCAACACAATTGCCAAGGATGTTGCACTAAATCCTTGTGATCATTGCTTGTTTGGTAAACAACATTGAGTCTCGTTTAGTTCCTCTGTGAAGAAGAGATCAAAGTTGTTAAGTCTGGTACACTTTGATTATAAGAACCAGATTACTGAGGTACGTAGACCCAAAAAAGTTCACAAACCAGATTATAAGAACCAAGAATCCTAGACCCAATATTTTCAAGAAACAAGAACCCAAGGTTAAAAGTTCAAGAGAAAGACGTCACAATCAAGATTGAGTGATAAGTCAATGAATGCCACAAGAAAGATTAATTCTTGATAAGTTCTTGAAATAGTTTTTGGAAGAACAATAAGGTAGAAACCTCACAAAACTCATAAAAAAATATATTCCTTGTAGCTGATTTGTTCTTTAGAGAGGTGGTGCGGGTGCCTCGGAGCATTCTGTCTGATCGTGATGCTAAGTTTTTGTGCTATTTCTGGAAGACGTTGTGGGGTAAGCTTGGTACTAAATTACTCTTTTCTACTACTTGCCATCCACAAACAAATGGGCAAATCGATGTAATTAATTGTACTCTTTTTATTTTATTGCATGCTGTCATTGGTAAGAATTTAAAAACTTGAGAGGATTGTTTGCCTCATGTCGAATTTGCTTATAATCGTAGTGTGCATTCTACTACTAATTATTTTCCCATTTGAAATTGTCTATGGTTTTAATCCTTTAACTCCATTAGATTTAATGCCTTTGCCTGTTGATGAGTGCGCTAATTAAGATGGAGAACGAAAGGCTGAATTGGACAAGCAAATGCATGAGAAAGTTAGATTGCACATTGAGAGGTGAACGAAGCAATATGCTATTCAAGCTAATAAGGGGTGTAAGATGGTGGTTTTTGAGCTTGGAGATTGGGTTTGGGTGCATATGCGAAAGGAGCGCTTTCCTGCACAAAGGGATTCTAAGTTGTAGCCTAGTAGAGATGGGCCTTTTCAAGTGGTGGCAAGGATAAATGATAACGCACAGACTAGACCTTCCTGGTGAGTATAGTGTTAGTGCTACTTTTAATGTTACTGATCTTTCTCCTTTTATTGCAGATGACGAAGATTCGAGGACGAATCCTTTTAAGGAGAGGGGGAATGATGCAATGCAATCTGATCCGTTGAGCATAAATGGAGGTCCTATGACTCGGGCAAAAGCGAAAAGGATGAAGGAAGCATTGAATGGCCTGATTCAAGACATATGGCTGATTGTGCAAGTTCAAGCATGAAGAGTGCGTTTGGAGGCTTTTCTACCGTGGCATTTAAGGGGAAAAGACCTCAAGTTTATTTTAATGTAATTCAATTCCAACAAATCTGATTAAGTGGCTGTATGGGCTGATTTAGGTTATTTGAGAATTTTGGGCTGATTACTTGTTTTAAGCCTAACTTTAGTTATTCCTATTTAGATTAAAATTTGTTTTAAGGCTTTATATACACACATAAGACTTGGTAAAAAGGACATAATATATTTTTTTATGAGTTTTGTGAGGTTTTGACCTTATTGTTCTTCCAAGAACTATTTTAAGAACTTATTAAGAATTAATCTTTTTTGTGGCATTCATTGACTTATCGCTCAATCTTGAGTATGACGTCTTTCTCTTGAACTTTTAATCTTGGATTCTTGTTTCTTGAAAACATTGGGTCTAGGGTTCTTGGTTCTAATAATCTGGTTTGTGAACTTTCTTGGAGAGTCTTCAATCAATTTGTCTGTGGGTTCTTGAATTCGTTTAAGGGTTTGCATCAATCCCCGTGTGCTTCTCTAACTAATAACTCACACATCGAACAATTAGGCACACACAATCGATTCTCTCGAAACAAAAATCCATCATGTCTATAAAACTTACCAAAACCCGAACTCTCACAAGCATCAAACACATTAGCAAAGTCAGAATCAAAGCACCTAGTACGTTTATGCGTCTAATGAACCATGTTTTGCGTGCTTTTATTGGTAAATTTGTTGTTGTTTATTTCAATGATATCTTGATTTACAGTAAGAGTGTAGATGAGCATGTTGAACATTTGAGGCTTGTGTTATGTTCTTTGCGTAATGCTTGCTAACATTAAGAAATGTTCATTTTGCATTAGTCAGATTGTTCTCTTAGGATATGTTGTTAATGCTAAGGGCATTGAGGTTGATGAGGAGAAGGTTAAGGCTATTCGAGAATGGCCTACACCTAAAACCATTACTGAGGTACGTAGCTTTCATGGTCTTGCTAGTTTTTATAGAAGGTTTGTAAAAGATTTTAGCACCATAGCTGCACCATTGACTGAAATCGTTAAGAAAAGCGTAGGTTTTAAATGGGGAAGGGACCAAGAAGTTGCTTTTAATTTGATTAAAGAAAAACTTAGTTCTGCACCTTTACTTGTTTTGCCTAACTGTTCTCAAACTTTTGAAGTTGAGTGTGATGTCTCAGGTATTGGAATTGGAGCTGTTTTTGTGACGCCCCTAAAACTGGGGTTCCTGTTGACCACCCGTCAACCTGTAGAAATGCACGTGATTGTCGCATGATCCGACACCACGTCAATAATTTCCTATTTAACGGGATTATAACTCATTCGTGAAACCCGTGTACTTTTTCATCATTTAATCTAACCATGGACCAATGTACCACATTTCATTCTTCATTAT